CTTCAAATGTCACTCCCTACATGCAACTAAATGGCCAGGCCTCTTCTAAACTTCAAGACCACATTCCTGAAAGTTACCTTTCCTGAACCCAGGTGTCATCTGCAACGCTACAGCTACTAAGGACGGACGGACAAAAACATTGAGCAGCTGGTTCCTGTATGCTGAGCCCATGAGGAGAGTGACGTGCTGGAAGATCAGTCCATCGACCACTTCTGAGTCTCCGGAATCCACTTTCAGAATCACCTGGTCTTTGACGAGACTGGCGATGTTGGAATGCAGGAGGAGGCTGGACTGGACCACCTCTTCAGCAGGCTTGTTATCTACATGCAGAGACACAGGTCACCAGAGGAGTCGCAGGCTTAGTATGTGTCAGTGCGAGTAACTTGACAGACAGACAGACAGAGCTTGTTTTCAAGCCCCAGGTACTGGCTTGATCTCTCCCAATTGAGGTAAAGACACCATGTGGGAAGGATATTTTAAAAGTATTATTTCACAAATCAAATCTCTCTCTAAGAACATGTGATATACTTTCTTATCGATCCCAAATGTGTCAGTCATTCTGAAATGCACATCAGTTCCCACTCTAAAAATCAACACCTCCTGTCTACCTCAGGAGCCAAGGGTATTCAAAGCAAGTTACACAACTGGAAAACCATGAAAACCACGTGCATGTGAATTTAACAATACGAAGATAAGAAGGCCCATGATTCATGCACGAGTACATTAAAACATCCTTTACACATGCATGCACACGCCACACTCACACAGAGCTTGCTCAGACCCATACCAAGAGGTCAAGAGTATCGCCTTGTAAGTGGACCAGCGGGCAACCTAAAAGGCCCATCCTGGCATCAGGCCTCCATGAGCACAGAGAGATGTTCAGGAGATTTCCTGTTTTTCCTTCATCTAAGATAACTGAAGAAGCAAACTCAAAGTTCCTAGTAGCTTATCACCTGACGGTGTACTGGCATAGAGATGGCCAAGCAGGCAAAATTACAGAAGCATCATGACAAGACGGTGATGTGTAACAAATATTCCCAGCATGGGAAATCATCTTCCTGTGACTGAGCCCCAGGGCTGGCTGACAGTGGTATGTGAGCAGCACTGGCTCCAGCTCTTGTGGAAGGGACAAATCAGAGGCCTGGTGTTCATCCTGGACTCGAGCACATTTGTTTTTGGCTCATCTGCCCGTCTCAGCTTGTTCAAGTCAATGACATACATGAAATGATCATAAAAAGCTCTAGATAAGAGAATGCTTAGGAATGTGGATAATCAACATGTGCAGCATGTTCTGGACTGGGAGTTATATTTAGTTACCCACCCAGCTCACGTAGAGCAGCTAGCGGTGCTGCAGCAGCTGGACAGATGCTCTCCCCTGTGGATTAGCATGCATTCCTCCCACCCTGGACACGTGAAGTACCTCGGAGAGACGGGCACCTAGGCTGGCCCGTATTCCTGGCCCAAACGGAGACGGGCCCAGCACTTTGCCAGCTCCTCTCTCCCGACACCCAGCACTTGCTACCTTGTATCCTAATTAACACGTCCTCAGCCTCCTACCAGACCATGGCAATAGTGAGCACAGAGCTCCAGTTCACCTTCCCCTCCCTCCTGGTGACTGGCATCGACTGACAGCACGCCCGCTGGGACTCCTCCCCACCTCGCAGCACGCGAGCTGCGTCCTCACTCCCCATCAGGCACAGCAGACCCCGCCGCGTCTCCTGCTCCAGCCTCTCGCCAGCGTGGCCCACCTTTCAAGCTCACGGCCCATCTGTCCTATTCTCCTGCTTCCAACGTGTTACTGCGTCCCCTGGCCTGCAGGTTCCCGTCCAGATCCCCACGGTGCCAGGCCTGTGACCCGCCGTGCCTCCGCATTTCCTGACCCCTGCGTCGGCACGCCTCCTCTCCCTCGTCCTCCTGAAGAGCTCCTACTCCTCTGTCAAAATCGGTTCAAAAGTCACTTCTTGGACGAAACCTTCCCGAGTAGGGAGGAACCCCCTGCAGCGTGCCCACAGCCCCTTGTCTCTATCTCCCCATTACCAGTTTACACCCCCCCCCCGCCCTCCACAACCAGAACGTCCAGGACAAGGCTCTTGTTCTCTGTGTCCCTGGCAGTACTTAGCACCGACTAGGTACCCAACACAGGTGTGGTGAGTAAACACTAGGTGTCTAACTATAAATAACCACTGGCCTTAGGAGGACTGCATTTCCAACTGTAGTCTCCACAATTTTAAACCAAAGAGATTGGAAACAACTTAAGCTACCATATCATATGCATCCCAAACTCCCAGCACAGGATTCATAACTCAGATGGGGTTTTTACCAAGTTGTTATTATCAGAGAATTGAATCAAGTTCTACACAACCAGCCTTTAATTCCCACAACCTGGTGAGGCACAGGGTCTGCAAAGGCATGGTGTGGAGGGCAGAGCCATGGGACACATGCAGTCTTCACCCTCCACCCAGCCAGGTGCCCGGGAGATGGCATGCTAGGCCTCAAGATGTGTGGGAAGTGACACAAAAACGATTACTCTCGAATAATACACATGCTGTGCTCAATGTCTTGTACTAATAAAAATAGAGCAGGTATTCTCTGTCTGTCTGAACAATGCTTTGCAAAGTCCTCCATAGGTTTTCACATCTAGGCCACACTTTTGCCAAATGAGGACACAAAAAATGCAAGCGTTCTTACCACATATGCTCCACCTACATACCGGGCCAGGTGAGGAAACCTCCAAATGCCTGAGTTAAGCCTTTTAGCCATAGAGTCTTTTCCACCAGAGCATCGAAGTCCATGGACGGCCGGTTCTGAAGCAAAACAGCAACCATCAGGGCCCAGGGATTCAGAACCAGGTTTTCAATTTGCAGAAGCTGCATTCTGTAGGCGACTTCGGCGACGAAGGCATGCATGTCCTCGGACTGTTTCTGTGGAACGTATCTACAAGGAAGAGCACAGAACGAAAAATGACGGTCCTGCTCTGTGGTCAAGAGGAAGGGGGAGGGGACGGAGAAGACCAACCCTTCAGAATACTTCCCACACTTTCTGCCGATCGAAATCTCTCAGGTCACACACAAGATGTATTGCTCTGCTTTATAACAGTGTCATCTGTCCATACATCTCTAGGGTATGCTCTTGAGACATAATAAAAAATACTCAGGGGAATAGGGTCCTATTATTCCTGGTTCCAGGCAAAAAAACTTTTGTTGCTTTAGGAATGGGATACACCACTTCTGGGAAAACAGATGCCTCCCCTGTAGACTGAATCACTGTCTTTTCAGAATCCGCAGCGCTCTGAACACATCTCTCTTATGGACACACTGATCAGACCAAGAAACTGCTCCTGTCAGCACTGGGTGGTCTGTTCGGTTTGCCTGTTACACGGCCCCCTCCTGAGAAGCTTCAGCGCACCTGCCATGCACCACAACTCCGTCTGAGAGCTGCTTCATGCAGGGATCACCAAACTTTGAATCGTATGATGAGGCCTACATGGAGCTGGCTGGAGCAGGGACACACATGTGACCTAATGGCAGCCACATAAAAGGTGGATTAATGTGAAAGCTGTAGTCAAAATGTGCCCTGCATTAGATAATAACCAGCCAGCTGAATTTGAAGATCTACAGAGAGAAACCCCATGGCAGCAAAAAGCTAGTGCCTGCTTCTGAGATGACAAACACAGCTGCTGGGGACAGCTGAAGCAGCAGAGAAATCATGAACGATCATGTGATGCTGGGCTGGACAGACAGGCTATCTCCTTTACTTCTCCAGGAAGTGGAGGGTTTCTCTAAACCAAGAAAGCCCAAGTGTATCCTGAAAGAGCCTAGTACATTTTCTTGCCCCTAAAACTATAAGCTTTGTGAGAACAGAGACTCACTTCTACTTGTTACTGTTACGCATCCTTTCTAGGATAAAAAGTCCACACAGGACACACTTCGGCAGCCTGCGATACGCTCAGCAGCTCCTGTACACAGGCCTGTTGATCACAGCGTTACTACTTCCCACTTTCAAGTTAGTTCCCTCAGAAGAAGAGTCATGATCTGACTTTGCACGTCTGACATTTATATCCTAAAGCTAATCATTTTTTCGGCAAACACATTATTCTTTGTTAAGTGAAGCTTTACACTGACAAAAATGGAATGTTACAGCTTCCCTGATAATTTGCTGTGTGATGTCAGGTAAATTAAGTTTCAGCCTCAGAAGCGGTAAGCTCAAGAATCATGATTCACGCTTTTAGATTTTAACACTTATTTCTATGTCAGCTGTTCAAACACAGGCCTCGCACCTTGGAACCAAGTTATATGGGCTCCGGCTCATCCTCCCAGCCGCCAGAGATCGAAGTGACACGGGGTCTCCAAAGTACACATGGATGTTTCCAAAATTTTCAGAGAGAATCCTTCTGGCTTTCAACAACCCCTAATGGTATTGCAACAGGGGGAAAACACAGAAAGGAGCACTTTTAGAAATGAGCTGATGTGCAAGTTAGTGTATTCTCTAAATGCAAGTAAAACCAAGTGTGACTACCCTTACGTACAGTTGTAGATTCTTTTGGCTTAGGGACCCCTAGAAGCTCATACACATAAAGAGTTTCTTCCAATATTTTATCATAACTGATGCTAATCGGGACAAGGTAGGTATCAAAAACTTCTCTTTTAAAAAATGGTTCCAGCACAACATTCAGGAGACCTGTGAACACGGAGAAATGTTTCATCACACGTGCTGAGGACATCACGCGTGCAGAGTGGGCAAGGGCACATACACAGGAGATGCTAAAAGTGCACATCACACGCTGCGCTCGTCAAGACGAACCGTGAAACTTAAACCATTACACTTAAAAAGAGAAGAGGACCTCGTAGAAAAAAATTTCAGGTTCTACTTAGCAGCTGTGACGACACCACGCCTTTGGGCTTGCGTTTCTCCTTCTAACCTGAAGGTGACCTACCGAGTTTAGGAGTCAACGTCTTGGCAGAGCGACTTCTTGTCCCTTCGAGGAAGAATTCAACAGGAGCATAACCATTCTTTAAAGAGAAAACACAAACAAACAAAACAGAACACAAGACCCATTGCCTACTCTCAAAATGACAGATGCTCTTCCGACTCCCCCTCCCATGCCCCTGTGCCGCCCTCTGAACAAACGGCGCGTACAGGGGACTTAGACCAGAGCGCTGTGAGACCAAAGGACTGCGGAGGTGACACGCACTCCTGGAGGGGACTGAACCGCGGAGCGTCTGCTCAGAAGTTAGGAAGCTGAACAAGCAAACTTCAGTGAAAAGAAAACATGGCAGGAAAGCACTGGGGAATCATCTGCATTTACCCGTAACATGGTCTTCACGTATTCAGAGAACACAGCCCAGTAGAGTCTGTCGCCACCGAAGCTGCGCCGCATGAAGAAGGCGCCCGACATGCGCAGCAGTTCGCCCACCATCCTCATTCCCAGGAAATCTAACAGACAGAGGAGGGGCTGGTATTGATCTACGGGTCTTGAAACTTTCTATAAAGATCCAAACTCAAGCTACTAAAAAAGACTGCATGTATGTGAGAGACCCCTACGACATTACATCATAATTATTCTGAGATTAAAACCCCTAAGAAGAGACAGAATTATGGAAAGGAAGGGACTCTGTGGGCAGGGGTCTGTGCTGCTCCGAGCACGGCTGCATTCACAACCAGGCCGGCGAAGACCAGGGCAAAGGCAACGTAACCACACCACGGCCAACTTCTCAGTCGGCCCCACCACTGAACTTGACGACGAACCGGTGTGAGTCCTCCATGCTCTGGGCAGCCCGGCCAAACCAGCCTTCACCCTTCTCTTGTCAGGACGTAACCACACCACGGCCAACTTCTCAGTCGGCCCCACCACTGAACTTGACGACGAACCGGCGTGAGTCCTCCATGCTCTGGGCAGCCCGGCCAAACCAGCCTTCACCCTTCTCTTGTCAGGCAAACATACAACCCACTTTCAGGGGAACGGACCACATGGAACAAGTCCAGAACAAGAGGAAGAGTTCCACCAGCAGTTTTAAAACAATCCTCTTCCTTTTTCTAATCTTCAAATGACTTCCCACACATCTATTCAGATGAAGAGGTTTTTAAAGAGTGTAAGTCCCTGGCAGTTTTCACCTTACTGTTTACTACGTTTACTAACAAAGGCATACAACCGAATCCCGACTTTCCTTGCTACCTGGAAAGGGAGCTGATAAATACTGTACTTGCCTTAGCAGTCCTACTTTCAGGAATCAGTCCTACGGAGATAAAAGCACTAATACAAAAATACATGGCAACACTGTTTGTAATAGCAAAACCACGAAGTTATGATACATCCACACTGCTGAATACTACACAGTTATTAAAAATAATGTTATGAGTAAAGTTGGACCCTTACCTTACACCACATAAGAAAATTAATTTGATGGATCAAAGACCTAAATGTAAGACCTAAAACTACAAAACCCTTAGAAAAAACGTATGGGAAAAGCTTCATGACACTGAACTTGACAACGGTTTCTTGGATATAACACGAAAAGTGTGGGAAACAATGACCAGACGAAAATAACTGGACCACGTCCAAATTAAAAACTTCTATGCATAAAAGTCACCATCAACAGAGTGAAAAGGCAACCTGTGGCGTGGGAGAAAATGTGTGCAAATCGCACATTTGATAGAGAGTAAATATCCAGAAAATACAAAGAACTCCTACAAACCACAACAGAGAGCCAAACAACCCGATTAAAAAATGGACAACGGACTTGACCAGACACTTGTCCACAGCAGATCTACAAATGGGCTTAAAAGCACATGAAAACATGCTCAGTGTCCCCAGTCACCAGGGAAATGCACATCAAAACTACAATGAAACTCCACTTCACGCCCATTAGAATGGTCACTATTAGAAAATGCAAGTGTTGGCGAGGATGAGGAGAAACAGGAACCTTGCGCTGTCAGTGGGAAGGTAAGCGGTGCAGCTGTATGGGGACAGTGTGGAGGCACCTTGAAACTTAAGTACAAAATCACCACGTGACCCAGCAATTTCACTGAAAGCCGCGTCTTGAACAGGTACGTGCAGTCCCACGTTCACAGCAGTGTTATGTGCAATAGCCAGAAAGCGGAGGCAGCCAAGAGTTCACGACGGGTGAGTGGATAACAGAACGGGGAATACCACTGACCTTGAGCAGGAAGAAAATCCTGACACATGCTGCAACGTGCACGGACTCTGAGGGCACCATGCTAAGGGAAATCAGCCAGTCACAAAAGGACAAATACCCTATGATTCCGCCTATCTGAGGTTCCTAGAGCTGTCGAGTTCAGAGACAGAAAGTAGAACGGGGGCAGCCAGGGGCTAGGGGTGAGGGAATGGGGAGTTTCTGTTTAAGAGAGAGTCCTGTGGATGGACGGTGGTGACGGCAGCACTGCAAAGTGGATGTACCTGATCCCACTGAGCGGTACGCTTGAAGATAGTCAAGATGGCAAATTCTTGGTTATGTGTATGTTACCAAAATTAAAAATATATGAAACAAATAACATTAGATCTATTTACTGACCTAGAGAGACAGTCATTGATTTACTATCAAATAAAGCAAAAGGCAGGTAATACAAATAGGTGGTACGGTCTCAGTTTTCAAACCTAAACTGAAGAACCTGGTGTGCGCATGTGCCTGGTACACAGCGAGGCACAGAACAGAGGGATGCAATCCCAGCCCTGACACACCGGGATGGAAGGAGGAAGGAGAGGCTATTTCCATCACCCTCTTCAAATAAATATCTTGGTATCATCAGAATCATTCCAGTGAACATTTTAACTTCTATGACTTTAAAAAAGGTAGGAAAATAATACATACCCATTCCTGCTGCTATAACTGGCACAGGCAGGTCATAGTTGTACAAAAGAAAAGACAACATCAGAAAGTCAATGTAGCTCCGATGACTGGGCAGCAGGACAACGGGGTACTCCTGGATGGCTCGTTGAAGCTTGAAAATAAATGTTCCATTATGAATAATTTCAGTTGTCACATTGTTAAAATCACACCTCAAATCAGAAAATGGGCAAACGAGTCTACATATAGAGGGAACACTAACCATCTTCTTCTGCCTTCCCTACCAAACACACAAACTTACTTTGCTCTGATAAGGTAAAAGAATTATTTCAGCGATGTAGTTAATTTCACACAGCACAAGACTATTAAAAACGCAAATTTTTATGAATAATAATCATAGTGACAATCAGTAACATAAATTATCTCGGCACTATTATTACATTTTACACACCAGTCCTGTTACGCTTATTATTTAGTACCACATATTTGTAAACAAGGTCTAAGCATCATCTTCCTCATTTGTGAAATGGTCACACATCCAATGAACGGTGGATGGTGGAGCTGGGAATGGAACCCAGTCAGCCTGCTGTAAAAAGTCACCTGTTAACCACTGTGCCAGGCTGGTTGTTTGCAGTAAGAGAAAACAAAGCTTTTCTTGGGGAGATTTAAAAAGACAAACAAAAAAACTACAATGTATAAGTGATTAGGACAGAGTGAAAAGGACGGTATTTCTCCACACACTGAGCTCACTGTTGCAGAGCCGGTGCCATGCAGCTGGGAGGGACACATTTGAGTTTCCAGATACATTCCCCAGGCCATCAACCTCGAAAATATTCACCTGTATCAATGTGTTATCTGTTCTTCTGAAATATAAATATAACTAGCTGAAGCCAGGTAACCTGTGATCAGTAAGACACAGTGGCTCACCAACAGTCCCTGACCCTAAACACTATACTGAGCGTTCTTTGATAGATCCAGAGAGTAAGTCAGGAATCTAGAAAACAGTCATGGGAAGAAGAAATACTTGACAGGAAAACAAATGTCTGAATAAAAGCAAAATATTAGAAGGCATGAGGAGGATGGAAAATGAGGGTAAGAGATTTCCTAGGAGAAAAAAAATACTAAGAAACACAAATGAAGAAAAATAATCTTCAAAGGGAAAGCTCTTCCTTATAGGAAAAAGCAAGCAAACAAATAGGAGTGATGGAGCAAGAAAAATCATCATCTGGAATTATCAGAGCAATAACTGACTCTGGCAAAAATTACCAGATGCAAAAACAAGTCAGGGAAAGGATGATAAAAACAGGATGCTCAGCCATTCTCCAAGTGTCTCCAATGAGATACTCATTAACCACAAAGGGGAAAACAGTGGCTTTAAACCTGGCAGACACCACCTTCTCCAACTGACGAAAATAAACGCCATTCTCCAAGTGTCTCCAATGAGATACTCATTAACCACAAAGGGGAAAACAGTGGCTTTGAAACCTGGCAGACACCACCTTCTCCAACTGACGAAAATAAACCTCTCTCCAGTAATGTGACAAGTGGACCCCTGGTGCTCCTGACACTGCCATTCTCCAAGTGTCTCCAATGAGATACTCATTAACCACAAAGGGGAAAACAGTGGCTTTAAACCTGGCAGACACCACCTTCTCCAACTGACGAAAATAAACCTCTCTCCAGTAATGTGACAAGTGGACCCCTGGTGCTCCTGACACCAGGCACCGAGAAGAACACAGCATCGCTTCCGAGCTACTCCTGCAAAATTACACAACCTGAATCTGCTACTGAGATAACATCGCTCAAATGCCATTCTCCAAGTGTCTCCAATGAGATACTCATTAACCACAAAGGGGAAAACAGTGGCTTTAAACCTGGCCGACACCACCTTCTCCAACTGACGAAAATAAACGCCATTCTCCAAGTGTCTCCAATGAGATACTCATTAACCACAAAGGGGAAAACAGTGGCTTTAAACCTGGCCGACACCACCTTCTCCAACTGACGAAAATAAACGCCATTCTCCAAGTGTCTCCAATGAGATACTCATTAACCACAAAGGGGAAAACAGTGGCTTTAAACCTGGCCGACACCACCTTCTCCAACTGACGAAAATAAACGCCATTCTCCAAGTGTCTCCAATGAGATACTCATTAACCACAAAGGGGAAAACAGTGGCTTTAAACCTGGCCGACACCACCTTCTCCAACTGACGAAAATAAACGGATATCGACAGACTGAAGGGACTCCTTGGAGAGCTGAAGGAAAGGGAAAACCAGGGATAATTTTTTGAAAAAAAAAAAAAAAAAAAAAAAGAAGCCAGAACTCTTTTTTACTCAAAGCAGTACAATTAGCTCCATATGGACCAGTATTCAATGTCTCAAAGATGGTGTTTTATTCTTAATTTAAATTGACATAATTTATTTCCCAACATGGTAAAAGCAGATAAATGATCCTATTTAGACAAGTTTAAAGGCTAGAAATTCAAAGAGAATCAGCTGTCTATGATTGCATTTTGAGTAAAGAAAGATCTCACCTTTCCGTTGATTTGTTAATGATTTTACATCCAAACTCTCTAAAATAAGTGGCTGCCCATGGTCCAGTGTCCTAGCATTCAGTAGTTTCTCTCAGCAGACTGTTCAGCACCTTACCTGCTGGATCAGCGCTATGAAAAGGCGATACACGAGGTAAAAACACAAGATTGCATGGAAATGACCAATTCAGATGATATCAGATATTTGGGTCTGTCTGGCTCTGCAGTGGCTAAAACCCTGCTCAGATCGCCAATTATAGCTCTCTTAATCCCGTTCGTGACACCAATTGTAAAGCTACTCGACCATGCCAGTTGTTGGGCTCCTTTACCTGCTGGTAATCCTGCACCGACTGGGCCGATTGTCGAGCTAAGGCTGGGTCTGGAGCCCACAGACACCTCGAGCCCATTCACAGACTGGGCCACAAATGCTTCACATGCCAGGCTGGGTCCCCAGACCCCTCACACAGGTCTATGAGCTAGGTAACCGGCCAAAAGGTCCTTGGATCCATAGGTTGGAAAGCATGGCTGCGCTGGGCAGATGCTGGAGGCCAATACCTGCCCGCCTGCTTCACTAAAACTCTTCTTTCCAAACAACACAAGAATAGCAACAAAACTAAAAAGATACATTGCCGCCCATGCACACTAACTCCACACACACACACAATTTGCTTACAAAGGATGTGCTGAACCACACCCAACTGGACCCAAGGCAAGGGCTCTGACCAAACTATTCTATTTTCCCAACGGGGTCATTGGTACAAAGATCCCCAAACTATCAAAGGGTCATTAGTGAAATCGAGGATCTCCCAATGGAACTTTCTTCATGCACACAGCACAGCACACGTCTTGTACAGAGAACAAAGTGCTCACAGTGTGACAGGACTGTGAAGGGCCTTGTCAAGAGCAAGTCACAGTTTGTCCTCAAGGAAGGCTGATTTGACCCTTTTCACCTTCCCCTAAACAAGCACTCTCAAAAGGAGTGAAGTCTATATGGTAAATAATATTTATGCTCCCCAAAGGATAATGCTCTGCTTTAGGATGAGGCACAGAACATCAGAGGACAGGACGTTGTGGTCCCAATTGTACATAGTGAAGAAGAATTTTTTTTTCATTGAGGTGAAATTCACATAGTATACAATTAACTGTTTTAAAGTGAACAATTTAGTGGTATTTAGTACATTCACAAACATTGAGCAACCATCTCATCTATCTAGCTCCATCTCTTATCATTTTGGGGGCTCAGTTCGATAGGCCCCAAAAGGCAGGATCAGAATAAACTATGCCCTCTTACCCGTGTTCCTTCATTTTATTTAGAGGTTATCAGAAACAGTAGCTGTTCCAAGAAAAGGGTCAGTAACATGGTCAGAAGAGAACCCACACCCATACCAGTAACAGCAAGAATGCTCTCCCGAGATGGAGAAAACTTGGCCCTGTTTTTTGTTTTTACTAATTTTCATTCCACTTTTAAAAAAATTGTGCTAAAATGTACATAACATAAGATTTACCATCTCAAGTGTACAGTTAGTGGCGTTAAAGCCCTAGACCTGTTTATAGATTACATGGAAGAAGTCCAAGTGGATCTTCCAGTAGATACATAGAGGAGACGTGTGGACCTCAAAAGAGATCTGGACTGAAGAAATACATATTATTTACCTATGTTACTTCTTAAACTATTATTATTTATTGTAATAGGGAGATATCGGCATAAGGAAGGTACTTAAAATTCTGGCAGTAAATAAAACTGCCCAGTGAGCAGGTAGAAGAAAAGAAGGCGTGAGAATAAGACCCTGAAGGACACCAGCATTTAAAGAGAGGCAGGGGACAAGAAGCCCACAGAAACATCTCCAGAATGATCAGAGAGACGGGGGCTGGGTGAGTGTGTGGAGTCACAGTGACAAAGGAGAGCAAGCAAGTGCCAAGGGCTGCCACGGGTCTGCACCAGGTAGACCTTGGCCTGAGGAGTCACTTGCAACCTTGGAAAGAGCTGCTACCTGGACCAGAAACCAGAGTCCAGCGAGTTGAGCAGTAAACGAAGGGTGAGGTCGTGCAGGCAACACAGCCAGTTCCTGGACAGAGGAGAGAGGTCGGGCTAGGAAGGTGGAGGTGGGCAAAGACTGGAGAAGGCCCGGGGCCAGAGGAGTTCTGTTCAGCTGGAAGAGACTTGGCATGTTCAGTGCTGATGGAGAAGAGCTAACAAGAAAGAATAGGGAGGACAGATGGGGGACAGTCCCGGAGCAGAGTCCTTGTGGAAAAGGGAGGAGCAGAGTTCAGAACAAAGGAGCAGGGCAGGGATTAAACTCAAACAGGAGAGGGGATCCCTCCTCCACCTTAACAGGAAGGAAGAAAAAATGGTGAGTACTGGATGCAGGAAAATGGGTAGAGGTGATCACAGGAAGGTGGAAGAGCTCTCATAAAACGGTTACGTTTTCTTTGCAGCAGAGAAAGAAGAGCCATCTGCTGAGAGTGGAGAGGAGGGCTGGGAGCAGAGGTTCAAGGAGAGCGGGGGCCACCAACGCTGCCATTCTGGAGAACAAAACAGAGATGTATGGGGAAGAAGGAAGGCTCAGTTGTGCAGGACAACCATGAACTTGCAACGATTCCAGTCTATCTGGATCACGTGA